CTTCTTCGTTGCTCCGGGCCTTGGCTCAGCGACGGAATACCACAGGAACATCTTCGTAGATCGATAGGGCCGGTTCCCAGGACGACTCCAGATCGTCCAGGCCAAGCCACTTGATCAGGACTTCCCAGACCCCATCTCGCAGACGCAGGTCCCGGAGGTCTTCCACGTAAAAACCTTCATCGCTGAACGCGATTTGGGCCTTCAAACCTTCATTGACTGCACATCCGCCCTCACAGTACAGGCGGAGCCGGCATGCATGGTGCAGGGACGTTGCTCCCGGAGGCACCAGCTGCTGGACTTCAATCAGGTAGTCGGAGACCACCTTCACGACCCAGAAGGGTCCCTTCCAAAGCAACGTTAGCTTTCCCGGATGCTGGAGAGCCCGGGCCACCAAAACAAAATCGCCCAGCGTAAATTTCGCCAGCTTCATGGAACGTTGACCATCACGACGGTACCAGGCCTTAGCGCGCTTTGCTGCCGCCGTCTCTGCCACGTGCTTGCGCATTATTCCCAGGGCATCTGCGAGCTCCGTCACGTGGCGTATCGCTCGGGACTTAATCCAGTCGATCGTTACCTCCCGGGGCTCATCCGGGTGGACCAGTCCAGTCAGGGGAGGTGTAGCAGGCAGGCCCGTAAACGACGTCGTTGGCGCTACGCCATCCAAACGGTCGGCCGGCTGCTGATTCAGGGCAGACTGTACCAGGGGTAACACCCCGGCCATTCTCCGGGTTGCAAGCGCATCTCGCTGCACAGGGTCTTCAGGATCCGGACGACGATCCGGTTCACCACCTCAACTGTCGCGTAGACCCAGGGGCATTGTGGTGTGACAAAATGATGATGAACACCAAACATACGACCCAGGGTACTGACCAGTTCGTTATTGAAATGGGACCCAGGTCCTGACCACCCCGAACAGTCCAAACCATTCCATCAACGCCGCGGTCGTCTCTGCTGCAGATGCTGTCGTACTGACATGCAACCGAACGAACCCACTCATGTCATCCTTGATGACAAGGACGTATTTCAAGCCTCCCGGGGTTTCTGGGAGCGACAGCCAATCGAAATGTATCAACTCATTTCGCTTCGTTGCATGCAGCGCTTCACCCCAGGGACGCGGTACCGACTCACCGTCGACCACCATACAATGCAGGCATGCAGTGACGAAGTTCTTCACGTCGGTCTTCAGGGAAGGCCAATCAAACATCTCCGCAACAGATGCCGTCGTCGCTTCCACTCTCCGGTGTTCCGCCACGCCAGATCTTTCCAGCTGCCGTCAGAAAACACTTCTTCTCGGCGCTCCAGGAGGCGTATTTTTCACATGTCGGATGGCCGCGCTGCAATTCCGTGATCGCATTCGCCGTCGGCCACACAAATTCGTCGTGCCGTAACGGGGACACCAGGGCCAGCCTGGACATCCAGGCACTCCGGGACTCCACCGGAAAGCTCCGGTCCAGGAGGACTTCCCCAACGGCTCAGGAGATTCGCCCACAGGTTCTCCTCTCCCGCCACACACTCCACAACGTCGTCATCGTCAACGCCCAGCGCTAGAGCTTGTGGGTCTGGTACTTGGCCATGTTCGAGTTCGACCCCAGAGGGTTAAACATGTACACCAGATTCCGGTGGTCCGTAAACAATCGGAACCCTCCCGGACGGATCAGGAGATACTCCAGGCGCTTGCATGATTCGACAACCGCAAACGCCTCCTTCTCCACAATCGGCCATCGCCCGCTCGCTCCCCGGAACGATCCGCTCAGGAACGCCAATGGTTCATGTCGCTGATCGCTCGCCGGTAGGGCCAGATCCTCGACCGGGACCTGTGTCGCAACAGCTCCCCAGAACCCCTCGCTCGCGTCCGTGTACAAACAGACCATCTTGTTCGGGTCTGGGTGGGACAACGGGACCATTGATTCGGTCGAAACACTCCAGGTGGTCCCCGGACCACCCGACAGAACTCAGCGCAGCACGCGTCAATGCCGTCTTCTTCCGGGAGTCGGCCGCTTTGGCCGCAATATCCAACAGCTTCGTCAACGGGGCTACCAGCTCCGTGTACTGCAGGATATTCCCCCTCATCCAGTTCGTGGCGCATAGGAACTGCTGGAGATCCGCTGCCGTCTGCGGTGGCCCCAAATCACACAAGCCTGGATCCGTTCAGGGGCATGCGCCACGCATTCCGCCGAAATATCTTTCCCACACCACACGGTCCGGGTGGTGTAAAATACACACTTCCCAGGGTGCAACTTCAGTCCGTACGCTTGGCAGATCTCAAGCACTTTACGCAACAGGTGCAACAACTCGTCCGTAGTCTGGGCATACCCCAACAAATCATCCAACCATCCGAGCAGCCCGTGCATCAGTAGGTCCCCGAACAACTCATCGACCACCCCTTGGCAATAGGCCACCGCATCGGTCTGGCCCATCAGGACTCGGGTCGGGGTCACAACCCCTACGGGAGTCATGAAGGAGTAGTACTCCTGGGAGTCCGGGTGTAGAGACAGCTGCCAATACCCCTTCATCCAGTCCAGTTTGAAGTAGACTTTCGAGCCCTTCAGTACAACCATGGCCACCTCCAGATTCGCATGGGCCAGGGCATCGGCTCGGTACACGCATTGATCGGTCTCGAGTCAATCGTCATTCTGAGGTCTCCCGGATCTTTCTTCGGGACAATCCTCGGGGCGCGATCTAGTGTTGCGGTACACCAGACCAGCTTCTTCCAGCTCCCGGACATGTTTTTCCAGGAACGCCATGTGGGTGGGAAGGTAGCGCCACAGTCCCGACTTCACCGGCACAGCCCCTTCCTTGAGGCGCACCTTCAAAGGTTCCACTTTCACCGGCGGGTCTCTCCCGAACTTCAGCCGGAATACGTCCCGAAACTCCATCAACAGGTCCCGGAGCTGCTCGACAGCTGCTGTTGGCATGCCCGCGGTAGCCCCCTCGGCCACCTTGGCTTCCAGGACAATACGCACCGGACCGTCGTCGTTAGGCGCATTTCCCAGTTATGGCGCTGCACACGACATTCCTTCGTCGTCGTCGATACCGTCTGACAACTCTCCCATCCGCAGGGTACGGTGCATCGCGACTCCTGGAGTCGTGATCGGCTGATCCCCGAAATCCCATACGGCTTGCTGCCGACGTGCATTTTCCAGCAACGTCTGCTCATTGTAGCCCAATTTCTGCATCACGGGCAGGCCCAGCGTAAGCTCAACAGGTGCTACGGTCTCATCGACCCAGACCCGGAGCCCTCGCAACATCAGCGGCCCGCACGCGGTCTTGAATTCCAGGCTGCCCAGGCGAACTTGTTTCGTCACAGTAATCACCTGGCTATCCGCCCCGTACGGTCGGAGTTCCATCGGACCCATGACCGTAATCTCCGGGGATGCTCCCGCAGCCAACATCGCAGAAACCAGGCCTTCGGAGGCCACCGACAAATCAGCTCCTGAGTCCAGGAGTGATGCCTGCACAGGGAGGACACCGTCCACAATAGCCGGGATCTCAGGCCGTTTCGCGTCCGGGACATCCGTCTTCACCGTCGCCACGCGGCCACCAGGTACTCCCGGGGCTCCTTTCTCGCCCCGACCACGACCGAACGTACTTTCATGTGCTCTTAGCAGTTGCATGACCTCTTCGGGGGTGATCCCGGGACATTCCCGGACAGGATGGCTGGTCGATTTACACTTCAGACAACCGTTGTTCGGTGCGTTCGGAACAGGTGTCAGGGGCTTCGTGTCTCCCCTCGGGCCCCTGGGTCCTCCCAGGACCTTCGACCCGGGCGGCTTCGGTAGGTCTGGTCTCACAACTGGCTTCAACTCTTCTTCGTAACCCACAAAACGCTCGTGACCGATCGCATATTCCCACAACCAGCGCACGAAACGGTACACATCCTTCTTCAAAGGCTTGTTTCGCGTCAATGCCATCTGCTCGGTAACAGTACGGTGTAGCTACGCAGGCTTGACGGCGTCCGTGATGATCTTCACGATCACCTGGCTCTCTTCCCGGATCACCCACTCCTGGCGGTCCCGAGGGATAGCCGCAGCCAAACCATCCAGCATACGTCAGATCTGGGAATCCGCGTCCGGGACCGACGTATCAAAAACAACAGCAGATTTAATCGGCTTCTTCAGGGTGTCCAGGGCCCGGGGATCGACGTCGTAACCTTGCTTGAACCACGCAATCCATTCGCCCTCGGACACGTCATCGGGATCCTTTCCCACATTTCCATTCGGCAATACGTTGCTTTGTCGCAGGTTCGATACACGCCCTCACGGGCATTATGAAAGGTCGGACCCCGTTGGCAGTCAGTGCATTCGTCTGGCCGGTATACAGGTTGTACGCGGCCATAAAAACGCGTCGTTCTTCCTTGGTGGATCCCTTGAACGTCAGGTTCTTCGGGAGGGCCGGGGTGTTGTTAAGGTGCACGTCGTTTTGTCCCATATCCACATCTTCCTTGTACAGCGTAGGTCCGGGCGCCGTCCCGGATATACCGCCAAACCCGAGAGCCGCAAACGTCGCCGGTCTCCCGTAACTCCAGGCCTCATCAACCGCCACCTGTTGTCGCCTTCCTTGTGGTGACAGGAACAGCCGTCGCGCAGTCGCACTGGTCCTGGGCCTCCCACGGTCTTCAAAACGGTCCACGCACGGTGCACGGGTCGTAGGACTCGACGAGCGATCCGACCGGGATCGAGCTCGGACAAAGTCCCTGTGGTGGCTACCAGGTAGCTCCACGTCCAAGGCATGCTCGTTTCCTGTTCCAGGAAACTCCATGCGTTCAGTCGCTAGCGTGTCTGTAAGACAGCTAAAGAATTCTTGGTTGTCTTGCGCCGGTGCTCGCAACCGACGACTACCGTGATCACAACGGTGACCTCGAAACTTCATTATCCAGTCAATCAGTCAGTTCCCTTCTTTCACTTCACTACTCTCTACAAGTCATGCATCGTACAGTGTACCATCAGTTCGGAACATATGCCTCTCACAAAATTCAAATACACATGCAGAGTTGCACTGACCGAGTTTTTCCGCAAAGCACTTACATGTACTACTGTTCTAACGCTATAGGTAAGTAGTACCTGGTACTTCGAAGTACAAAACGTGAAAGATCGAATTGGCCAATGGGTAGTATACCGACTGAAACTAATTCCTGACGAAGGCCAATCACAACTAGTGCATGGGTCTACGAGTACTCTATTCCACATGCCGACTTCAATGTCTCATTTAGATGGATTATGGGATGTAACTTGGTCAATGCTACATGGGTCCAGTGATTGGTAGAGTAGCAGGGAATATGGGGAAACATTGAGGGCATTGTTGACATACCTGTGGGATTCAGTGATCAAGTGACCCCTCCCTATGGCCATAGTATGAGTACATTGCCCTCCCTAGTACGTATTACTAGTACTTCGAAGTAATAGAGTTTTGCATTCGTTTCAGAAGTTGGAGTTCCTAGTCCAATCGAAGAGCCAACGAAATTGTTTCAATCTAACATTCCAACCAATAGACCTCCTGACTAATGATTAAAACAATGTCAAATGTCCGGATACTTTCGTAGAATTATCATGCTATTGGATTCATGAAAAAGACTGGCCAATGGTTATTTTAGTTGTCAGAAGAGTAGTCATTGGGCAATCGCATCGTACGCGCTAAATGATTGGATCATTTGATTTGGTGGTGATCAATGACGTACCAATTAATGTTTTTGGAAACGCCTCAGTCATTTCCAAAACCAAAAAT